AGTGCCCCTAGCACTGCTCTACATCTGAAGGGGTGGAATTGCTTTGGAAAAGAATCAACGGCAACGATCATACGGAGTAAGCAAAATGTCACTACTACCCTTCAATCATAAAAATCTGGAAGACCTTTTTACGTTTTCCTCTCTCAACTCTCGTCTCTCTCATTCCCATTCCCATCGTTCCTTACCTAGCCGTCGGGAAATGGGCGGACGGCACCAGAGGATGCCCTGTCGCCTACCGGCTTTCCCTGACCGCCGATCCGACGTTCGGGCCAAGAAATTTGGATAATAGAGCGTTTTTCGTCGCTTTGTATTCTTGATGCCTTTTAGCCCCGATCCGGTGCCATAGCGCCTCGGATCGACGCATTGCCAGTTCCTGGAGGATAGATCTGGCGTTCTCAGTCAGAGAAATGTTGTTGTGTTTCTTATCGTTTCCCAGCGCTACGCTTGTCCACGGCGCCAACCGGTGTTCCTAGGTGCCGGTGGGGGCAATGGCCTGTACGTCGTGTTCTGGATTGTGCCTGTTGGCAATTGACGGTGTCCACGACTACTTTCAGGTGTGTACTCGCCGTCTTTTCTTTTTCTTGATTTTTTTTTTCAAATTTGTTTTAGGTATCTTTGGAATTGATAGTTGATACAGTTCTTATTGAGGTGTTTGTGTTCTAAGAAAATGCGTATGTTTTTCTTTTTAATTTTCGGAAGAGTGATTTCATGTTTGGTGAATTTAACGAAGCATGCTGGCTACGTTAGTTTTCCTGTTAATCGAATGTTTCATTGACAAATGAAATCGCGAGAACGAAATAGTGGAAAGCTAGGGTGGCTGCTATGAAAACTATGCTTAAAATTTTATTTAAAACATTAGGTTTCTTAGGAAATTATGTTTTCATGCATTTATGTAAGCCCACAGAATATGTTTGTTTTAATTGCTCTATTGCATTTGTTTCCTCTTCACCTCTCTTTTGATGTCTGAAAATTCCTAGTATTCCAATGAATATATTTACAATATTTGTTGATGTATACTTAAATTGATTATTAGTTTATAATTTCTTGACGCATAGAATTATGGTTGTGATAAATTGACAAGTTAACAGTAGTCTGGAATGTGCTAGAGACTAGAGAGGCTGTAGTTACTGCTACAAGAAAGTGAAACCTTGATTATTATCTAATTAGCATTTTCCTTGTGTAATGCTTTTGTTAGAGGAAGTAGATAAAGGGTTCTGGTTTTCACTGTTTCAAATTGAGATAATGGAGTGTGCTGGTAGTCTGAAGATTTTTATGAAAGTCTGAATGGTTTCTAAAGATTCATTTGCTAAAAAAGTTGATTTTACCATTAATGTCTTGTTTATATTTTTCATAAATTTGAAAAACATGAAATTTAAAAGGAAATAAACTTTTTCAAAGGGGGGATACTTTCTATCTAGGAAGTTCTTAGAGAATGTTTTTATAGCCCATCAACTTGGTTCAGTCATAGTCCTTTCCTGTTTAAAGATTCATCTCTTTATTGCCATATAACATGTAAAAATTGTTGAATATATTTTGTATTAGAGTCCATTTTGATCATTTGATGCAGGACATCATATCAGGTAAACAAGATTCGTCATCTTGATGTTTGGAATCTCATGTTTTCTTCACAAACCTCTGAACCCTGTCACGTGATCAGTCAAATTATATTGTTCTCCCATGTTGTCTTCAACTATATTAGCTAAAGGAGTACGACAATTTGTTTAATGTTAGTAAAAATTTTGTGGATGGCTTGAGATTTGAGAGCTATGTTGCCTCTGGCTCATCTCCTTTTACTGACAAGTTCATTTAGGTTTTTATTTTAAAAGAGTTACTTTTTATCGCTTATATGGAAGCTTAATGAATTAAGAGTCGTTTTAAAACGTAAAGAGTGGAATCGTCTAGGTTTAGTAAGGAAAGAAACAGCAGACAAAGTATGATAAAAAAATATTTATATATAAATAAAACACTACATAAAACTTATTTTATCTTTCATTCATATTCATTTGTTTGCTTTGTTTTAGGCAACTAAAACAGAGTACACATTTTCTTAAAAGAACAGAACACTTTTTCTTTTCAACATCTATGTCAGTGTTATGAAAATCATGAGAATTTAGAGGGCACCTTGGTTTATTTGCGCGCAACTGCATTTTCTTTGGTAGCCTTTCTGCTTAGGGACACAAGGGTGTGTAGCGCTTTGCTTTGACTACATTGGTTATACCCTAATAACGTTTCTCAACTTGTATACAATTAAGATGTGCGTTTAGCATTGTGCTGTTTAAATATGGATTATAACCTTTTTTCCGACCTCTACATGATACAGGATTTCTCTATGGTGGTACATAGAATGGTATTGGTTAAAATGATATCTACAAGACTTTCATTTAAAGCCAAATCAACATGCTATGTTCCTTATGTTGCAAAAAATAATATTTTTGGTCTTTTCCATCAACTGAATTTTCCTCACAAAGAAGATTGTGCATGGATTTGATTTGTTCTGGTTCATGTATGAGCTATTTCTTGAGGAATTTGAGGCCAATGATTTCTTGAGATGGTAGCACCATCTGGAAATCACCAGCCGTACTTGCCAGCGGCTTATGCCAGTCTTAGACTTTGAAATGAATCCAAAACTTATCCTAAATTATTGAACCTCTAACTTTTCTGTGTATTGTTGTTGACATTTTGAGGTTCGATTGAGTTCAATGCTTGAATAAAATGAGTCCTTGTAGCATCTTGCTGATGTATGCATTTATAATGGAGAGCATTCATGAGGCTCCTACCAACTGAAACTTAGTATATATATTGAAAATTATGAAAATTTAATGCCACCTTGCATAATGTATTAGGTATAAGATTATTATATTCACAATTCTGATGTTTTCTCTCCTCCTGTCAGGACCATTGCTTACCAGTGACTTCTTTGTTTTGTCATCTTCCTCCAATAAATTGAAGCTGGACGGAGATGAAGCTGAGAGGAAATACTTTGGAGAATGTGGTATGTCTGCTGGTCAAGATTTCATTATTTGAGAGTTCTTAACTGCCTCTTCTATACCTTAGGTGCACAATTTTTTGGGAAACATAATTTTAAGATTTGTGTTGCCAAAATCAAGAGTAACAGGTGTTCGATATTGCAGGTTGGCTCGACACGACAATACAGGCTTTTCACAACATGCATGTCTGTAATTTTACACGTTTCATAGATTTTAGTAAATTTCAGGTTTTTTTGTTAGAATTTTACTATTTTAATTTGGGTTTGTAAGTGGCCATTATTAATTTTCGGTTTTTATTATTTAATTTAATCTGCTATATCATGTTAGGAGCATGTCTGCGATTTTTTCTTATTTTTTTTTAATTTTTCGATGTGTGATTATTTTTGTTCTGGCTGCTTGATGGAATTATTTAGATATTTTTGTGATCTAGAGCCATGCCGGAGATATGAACAAAAAAATCACTAGGAATATCCGTGTATTTCACTATCTATGACTATGTTTTGTGTAGGTATGTTTGCTGAAATGAGCATGGAAAAACTGTGGTGGGTTTAGAAAGCCTGTATGGTCCATTAACTTGGAATTAACTCACAACGGGCGAACTAAAAGGTCTAACTAATGAATGGGCTTCAGAGGTCCATTAAGTAGATTAACTTATCGGTCATGTATAGTCCAATGAACAAACATGTGGGCCGAAGAGCTTGAGGTCCATTTGGTTTTAGAGCCTAAATATAAAAGCAAATTCGCTTTGGAAACCCACTAAGTAGAAAATCTGGCCAATTAAGCAAAGCCGAAAGTTGGCCCATTTAGTTTGTAAGGCCCAAGGAGATCATATTAGCACTTGGGCTTACATGGCTCAATAAGCAAAACTTTAAGCAACGTTACACGAGGCCCATTTGGATTTTAAGGTCCTATTTTTTTTGTATTGGGGCAATTAAGCCCATTAGGCATACGTGGCCCACGAACTTACATTTCGGTCGAAATTAAATGAGACCCACTTGCATTGCAAGGCTCGACATAATAGTCATTGGGCCTATAAGGCCCATTAAGCAGACATTGGGCGACCTCTTGGGCCAACATTGGGCCCACTCGTTTGATATTTTGGGCCTACATGGGCCATTTGTTTTACCTATTAGTCCGACTTCTTGCCCACTTGTCTGATCTATTGGGCCGAACTGGGCCCATTGACCTTTTGGGCCGACATGG